CAATGAAAAATGAGAAAGGGCAAAGGTGGTGTGGTGCCAAGAGAGGAAGAAAAATGGCCCTAGTGGTTTGGGGCTTAGGAGAAAGAGAAAAGGGCCAGGTTGTTTGGGGCCAAAGTAGAATCAGAAAAGGGCCAGGTGGTAGGGGCCAAGTGAGAAGGAGGAAGAGCCCTATTTGTTTGGGGCCAAAGGGGAATGAGAAATGGCCCAGGTGTTTTGGGGCCAAAGAAGAATGAGAAAGGTCCCAGGTGGTGTGGGGCCAAGGGAGAAGGAGAAAGAGCCCTTGTGGTTTGGGGCAAAGGAGAATGAGAAAAGTCCCAGGTGGTTTGGGGCCAAGGGAGGAGGATGAAGGGCCTTAGTGGTTTGGGGCCAAAGGAGAATGAGAAAAGGCCCAGATTTGGGGTCAATGAAAAATGAGAAAGGGCAAAGGTGGTGTGGTTCCAAGAGAGGAAGAAAAATGGCCCTAGTGGTTTGGGACAAAGGAGAATGAGAAAGGGCCAGGTGGTGTGGGGCCAAGGGAGGAGGAGGAAGGGCCTTAGTGGTTTGGGGCAAAGGAGAATGAGAAAAGGCCCAGATGGTGGAGGCCAGGGGAGAAGGAGGAAGAGCCCTAGTGGTGTGAGGCCAAAGGAGAAAGAGAAAAGGCCCAGATTTGGGGTCAATGAAAAATGAGAAAGGGCAAAGGTGGTGTGGTGCCAAGAGAGGAAGAAAAATGGCCCTAGTGGTTTGGGGCTTAGGAGAAAGAGAAAAGGGCCAGGTTGTTTGGGGCCAAAGTAGAATGAGAAAAGGGCCAGGTGGTAGGGGCCAAGTGAGAAGGAGGAAGAGCCCTATTTGTTTGGGGCCAAAGGGGAATGAGAAATGGCCCAGGTGTTTTGGGGCCGAAGAAGAATGCGAAAGGTCCCGGGTGGTGTGGGGCTAAGGGAGAAGGAGAAAGAGCCCTAGTGGTTTGGGACAAAGGAGAATGAGAAAGGGCCAGGTGGTGTGGGGCCAAGGGAGGAGGAGGAAGAGCCCTTGTGGTTTGGGGCAAAGGAGAATGAGAAAAGTCCCAGGTGGTTTGGGGCCAAGGGAGGAGGATGAAGGGCCTTAGTGGTTTGGGGCCAAAGGAGAATGAGAAAAGGCCCAGATTTGGGGTCAATGAAAAATGAGAAAGGGCAAAGGTGGTGTGGTGCCAAGAGAGGAAGAAAAATGGCCCTAGTGGTTTGGGGCTTAGGAGAAAGAGAAAAGGGCCAGGTTGTTTGGGGCCAAAGTAGAATGAGTAAAGGGCCAGGTGGTAGGGGCCAAGTGAGAAGGAGGAAGAGCCCTATTTGTTTGGGGCCAAAGGGGAATGAGAAATGGCCCAGGTGTTTTGGGGCCGAAGAAGAATGAGAAAGGTCCCAGGTGGTGTGGGGCCAAGGGAGAAGGAGAAAGAGCCCTAGTGGTTTGGGACAAAGGAGAATGAGAAAGGGCCAGGTGGTGTGGGGCAAGGGAGGAGGAGGAAGGGCCTTAGTGGTTTGGGGCAAAGGAGAATGAGAAAAGGCCCAGATGGTGGAGGCCAGGGGAGAAGGAGGAAGAGCCCTAGTGGTGTGAGGCCAAAGGAGAAAGAGAAAAGGCCCAGGTGGTTTGGGCCTAAAAGGAGAATGAGAAATGGTCAGGTGGTGTGGGGCCAAGGGAGGAGGATGAAGAGCCCTTGTGGTTTGGGGTAAAGGAGAATGAGAAAGGGCCCAAGTGGTGTGGGGCCCAAGAGAGGACGAGGAAGGGCCCTAGTGGTTTGGCGCCAAAGGAGAATGAGAATGGGCACAGGTGGTGAGGGGCTAAGGGAGGAGGAGAAAAAGCCCTAGTGGTTTGGGGCTGAGGAAGAATGAGAAAGGGCTCAGGTGGTGTGAGGCCAAGGGAGAAGGAGGAAGGGCTTTAGTTGTTTGGGACAAAGGAGAATGCGAAAAGGCCCAGGTGGTGTGGGGCCAAGGGAGGAGGAGGAGGAAGAGCTCTAGTGGTTTGGGGGAAAAGGAGAATGAGAAAAGGCCCAGGTGGTGTGGGGCCAAGGGAGGAGGAGGAAGAGCCCTAGTGGTTTGGGGTCAAAGGAGAATGATAAAGAGCCCTAGTGATTTAAGGCCAAAGGAGGAGGAGGAGAAAGAGCCCTAGTGGTTTGGGGCAAAGGTAAATGAGAAAGGGCCCAGGTGGTGTGGGGCCAAGAGAGGAGAAGGAAGGGCCCTAGTGGTTTGGCTCCAAAGGAAAATGAGAAAGGGCCCAGTTGGTGAGGGCTAAGGGAGGAGGAAGAGCTCAGATGGTTTGGGGCCAAGGGGAAAGGGTCCAGGTGTTGAGGGCGAAGGGAGGAGGATAAAGAGCCCAGTTTGAGTGGGGCAATATGTTGGAGATAGGCCATAAATACAGGAAGCCTATTTGTTCATGGCATAGGTAGGGCGAAGAGGGCACGTGGTGAGTGGCCTTGAGCACTTCAAGCGTAATAAAAGCTCGCTTGTTATGGGCAAATATTTGCCAGAATGTTGAAGCTAACATATTTGACCATAGGAGGTGCTCTAAAAGAAAAGGAGTACTTCAGTACTCGGCCCTCGGGATGATCACTTGAGGAAGTGAGGACTTCTACCAAAACTTCTTTGGCGTCCTCAGCTTCTTGACAGCCTCCTTCGACATTTTCTTGAAGATGGGCTCCTCGTTAAGCTTTATTTTAGCTTCTTCCATCTTCGCGTCCAGCGAGTCCAGTAGCAGCTGGTTGCTGACCATTTCTCGGTACAGCTTCCTGAAGTCGTCATTCAGACTTCTGATGAGGGCATCCTCAAAATAATTATCCATTGCGATATATTTGTCTTTACTTGATAGTTAAGCGTCAAGCCTTATCGCTCTCTAACAATTGAATGAAAACTTGTCTCCATAGAAACCTAAATAGAGAGAAATTTGAATTAAGTTATATGTTAAGTCTCACATATACGTGATTAATTATATTGACACAAATAAAATACCGTTTTACTTTTATAACAAATTTTCAAGTAGATTGTATCAAGTGTATAATTTCATTTGTTTTAGGATAGAGATGACGCGCTAAATACCGATATTTAAATCATATGGTTATCAAGTGTAATAATCTATTTGAAGGATAGCTATGAGTCGTCGTCTGTTCCACGATTCAATATGGAATCTGAAGTGCTGATATGTCACATTGGACTCTCCATTGAGTCAATGATAATGGACGATCCTCACATCTAATACGCGCTATTTTTTTATTAAGAAATATATAGTCAACAAATATATAACTGGATGAATACAATGATGTCTGATCAAGGTCTTCTCTTTGCTTTATATAAATTCTTCAAGACCGCAGTCACCGTTCGGAGGAGATTAATAGAATCGCCGATTGTCGTGGTCTATTTGGATGAAGAAAGCGTAGACTAAAACACGGCTGATTCCACACTCGCCTTTTCGCCGTTCCTCAACGGCCTCACGACCCGCTCGGCCCGACGGGACCTGGATCGCCCGCGCCCCGCCGCCACACCCATCTCAAGGTTCACCTCGAGATGGTCGCCCACCATCGGTCCACCACCATCCAAGATCGCTGGGCCTCGCTGCGGCGCTGCGCCCACTCTGGCCACGAGGCCGACGCGGCCCTCAAGTTGGCCCTCCACGCCCTGCCCCATCCGGCCCATCCTGCCTCGGTCGGCCCCTCCTGTCCTGCCTGCGGGTCCATCGACCGCTCCCTCAGCCACCGTTACTGGTGCTGTCCCTCCATCAGGCCTCTTATTAGAGAGGCCTTCAACATCATAGGGCGGTCCCCTTACCTGCAGGCTTGGATCTTCGGCGGGTCGGGCTTTGAGGACGACGCCCTTTCCATCCTGGCGTCGGCAAAGTTGCGAATTTATCGCTACTTTGTCCAGGTTGGGCTCGGAGAAGCGGTGGAGGACCTGCTCATCGCCTGGTCCGGGACCCTCCAGCGTCGAGGTCTCCTTCCATCATCCCCCTTGTAAAATATATGTAACATTTATGTAAATATTTATTTTTTATGTAATATACTTCTTTTTCTTTCTTAAGGCAAAATAGCCTAGCTGTGAAAGCTTTAGACTTTAGAACCTGATGTCCCTGGTTCGAACACGCTTTTCGCTATTTTTTTTTCTCGTTGATAAATTGATGTAACATTGTCTAGAAGACAATAAATAATTTTAATTGTCAAAAATTGTCACACTCGCCTTTTCAGAGATACGCTAACCTATGCACGGTGGATTCTGTGGCCACTGGGCATGTGTCGGACTTGGAGGCTGTTGGATTCTGCGCTGCCTGGAGTATAGGAGCTCCATCTATGATTCCTTCCTGTGGTGAATCTGTATAAGACCCTGGAGGCTGTTGTTGGGTTCTGTTCTGCCTGGAGTATAGGATATCCATCTATGCTTCCTTCCTGTGGTTAATCTGTATAAGACCCTGGAGGCTGTTGGGTTCTGTGCTGCCTGGAGTATAGGATATCCATTTATGCTTCCTTTCTGTGGTGAATCTGTATAAGACCCTGGAGGCTGTTGGGTTCTGTGCTGCCTGGAGTATAGGAGCTCCATCTATGCTTCCTTCCTGTGGTGAATCTGTATAAGACCCTGGAGGCTGTTGGGTTCTGTGCTGCCTGGAGTATAGGATATCCATCTATGCTTCCTTCCTGTGGTGAATCTGTATAAGACCCTGGAGGCTGTTGGGTTCTGTGCTGCCTGGAGTATAGGATATCCATCTATG